CCAAATTTTTTTTCCAGCGCAATAAGTATCTCTACATTCCCCAATTCTCATTGGGGAATGTAGAGACAGCAATCATTCTATATACGACAACTTCCAGTAACATAAATGTATATATTACGTGAAGAGAAATAATGTATTAGGATGAAAAACATTAGGGATATGACTGTTCTTACGAAACAGTTTAATTATAATGGCAATGAACATGTGGGCACAGCGCAAGCAGTTCTTGAATAACTGGGCAGTGGTGCCTCCGTTGGATTACAAATTGCAGCAACCACTAGCAGCCTGAGTAACCGGGCTCTCAACCAGAGGACTGGTTTGGGACCGGACCGTGGGAAAGATGATTTCCAGGACCATATGCATAAGTATAATGAAGATTTTGAACTGTATTTAAAAAACAAATTGTCTAGTCATGTCCAGGTATGGTTGTATTGTACTTAACATTATACTGGAATTTCGGCTACTGTATCTGAACTCTCAAAACAGAAGATACTCCGGAGAGGAAAGAAGTGTATCTATCAATTCATGTTCCATTAACGTTTTCTATATACCTTGTACTACGTCCTATTATAAAACTTGAGTATTAAAGAACATACAGAATCCGGATATCTGACTCGGCGTTCGAAAACATAAATATGCTGAACCCGGATATGTGCTCCGGTGCTCAAAAACGTAAACAACAAAAATAACATAACAGAATTCAGATATCTGACTTTGCTCTCTGTAGCGCTGTACAGCCCTTGTGGCTTAGCGCTTCTTTTTGATTATAATAATAATAATAATGACTTTGCTCTCAATAGCAAACAGCACTTTATATGAGTACCTATATACACATTGATATTGAAGTTTCTTGATTTATACGGCAGCTATTATGCATATTTTGACTCCTAGATGTTCACAGCACTAATGTAATCATAGAAATGAACGATCAGAAATACTTCGGTAACATTCTGTAAATAAAGATCTTACCCAATATATTTTAAGTCTTTTGGCTAGTTTTGTCAATGTCCATATAGGTTTTGTAAGTTTTCTCTTTTTTTTTCAGTTGTATTATTGCACTCACAAATGTCATCACGCAATTTTTTTTAATTTCGTGTCCACATACATTTGATATATACTGATATACTGTATAAATGTTCAATTTTGTAACTGGTTTTTGAAAACATTTTCTTGTGAAATTAATGTATAAAACTGTTATAATATTTGTCCAGTATTCTCGGCGGTTGTAATAATAGAGACTATTACACCCGCCGTCCTTCATATTTCCTTCTCAATTCGTGTCAATTATTCTTATTCTACCTGTTCCCTTTCTCTCCCTGACGCTAGAAATACATCAACCCAACTTTCATGTGTCTAGTTTAATGCCTGCAGATTGCACGTAGTTCACTAAGGTTGCAATTCTCCATTGCACTCCCATCAAGAATAATCTCTAAAATAAGGATTATACACTAAGAAGAGTGTCAGCATGATACACAGTACCTCATGTATATAACCTGTACATGCATCTCTCCCCTCAGACCATGTATTACGCTAATTACAAACAATTTAACGAATATATAATAAAAAACGCACAGTACCATGACTGGAACAATACACAAATAACCCGCACATACAAGAAAGTAACTTATGACGACCTTTCGGTCGTTAAATACGAATTTAACAAAATATCGTGGTAGCATCTAAACAAGTAGCTAATATTTTTGTTTATTTTTTTATTAGAGTAGAAGCCTAAAAACGGATTGTAAAATACTGGTAATCCAGCCTACTCCGGATATAAGTCACCATCTTTGGAATCGTCACCTTTGAATATTTAAACAGGCTACTAGGATACCCATATTTGTTAAGAATGTTAACTTGCGTCTTGCTCATACTGCTATTTAACAAGAGCAGCACAGAGACTCCAATCTCGGTACATGACAACAATTCTCTCACGTTTCAGGGAACATTCAAGCAGCTGAACAAATGGACAGGCTTGGGAAGACACCTTGTAGTGTTGAATGAATGGTCCAGTAAACAGCCTAATTTCTGTCCTGATTTCCTCTGCAGGAAGACGATTGTTTTCGTTCAAACTCCACCACAGGCTATCATATATATATATATATATATATATATATATATATATATATATATATATATATATATATATATATATATATACATATATATATATATATATATATATATATATATATATATGTCGTGCCGAATAGGCAGAACTTGCGATCTTGGCTTAAATAGCAACGCTCATCTTGCCATATAGGACAAGTGACAATTTGTGTATGCAATAATTTCGCCAAAATCATTCAGAACCTAACGAAAAAAATATATTTGATTGTGTTTGTTTAGTACTAAATTACTGTAAACGTATTTAAAATATATTTAGTTGGGTTAGGCTAAAATAAATTGCGCTTGTTATAATAAGTTTAGGTAAGTTTTCTAAGATTCTTTTGGTGCAAAATTAAATTTTTTACATTAACATTAATGAAAAAAATATATCTTTAAACGTATAAGAGAAAATTTCAGAAAGGACTTAATTTTAAATGAGTTCTTGCTAACTGAGCAGTTTTACATATTCGGCACGATAATATATATATTTTATTATATATATTATATATATATATATATAATATATATATATATATATATATATATATATATATATATATATATATATATATATATATATGTCGTGCCGAATATGTAAAACTGGATAATTAGCAAGAACTCATTTAAAATCAAGTCCTTTCTCAAATTTTCTCTTATACGTTTAAAGATTTTTTTTTCATTAATGTTAATGTAAAAAATTTAATTTTGCACCAAAAGAATCTTAGAAAACTTACCTAACCTTATTATAACAAGAGCAATTTATTTTAGCCTAACCTAACTAAATATATTTTAAATACGTTTACAACAATTTAGTACTAAACAAACACAATTAAATATATTTTTTTCGTTAGGTTCTGAATGATTTTGGCGAAATTATTGCATACACAAATTTTCACTTTGTCCTATATGGCAAGATGAGCGTTGTTATTTAAGCCAAGATCGCAAATATTTAGCCAACTTAGTGAGCTTCTCTGGAATTAAGATGAGGTGGAAAATCAACATATCAACCAATTCACTGACATACCTGGTTGTTAAGATCCCACCAACAAATCCTCTTCCCCTTCCTGAAATCTTTTCAGCGGCTACTATCCACCGGGTATAACTATACTCACTGAAGTGTTATGAAGCTTCACTGTGACCTGTGTAATGCAGTGCCTGGCGCGACACCTCACAGGATAACCATGAGATGCATAATAAACTGAGCACTCAGCAGACAAAAAAAAATTTATTTTACATCTGCGATGCAAATACTGCATGATCTTATTAAATTCTTTAAGATTTCATTACAAAATCAATGTATTTTAATCCTTGATGGCAAAATCACTATTAAATCTAGGATATACTATGTCAAATACCAGCTAATCATGGGTAACTGTAATTACAGTAATAGTAAAATATGCCATAAACGCTCTAGTAAAATTGTCCCCCGAGGGAGGTTCCTTGATGCCAGTGAGAGGCTCTTGATGCAAAGAATTACATTTTTTTCTCCCTTGAATCGAATCTGGCTGCCTCTCCTTCCCTCTGGTGGTGTATGATCCCTACGGACTTGACGCTCCTCTCTAAATATAATATTGTGAAGACCATTATTATTATTATTATTATAATCAAAGGGGAAGCGCTAAACCCGGAGGATTATACAGCGCCTGGGGGAGGGGATGTGGAAGGCATTCAGGCTTAATTTGGGGAACTGGAGCGCAGATCCAATTCCCTAAATCAAGAGCCCCTCACCAACATCAAGGAACCTTGAGGGGATTGTGAAGACCAGAGTGCAGGTACCACAACAAGGAGGGCGAGGCTACACTTGTACACAACTTTCACACTGTTGAAGTTAAGAACCCTGAGTTACGAATTACTTTTTTAGACAAAATTATATTTTAGGTTTACTGTTCAATATTATAGTTACGTGGTGAGAACTAAAGCCAGCTAGGTTTTCTTGTCAGGGAATGCATACAGAATATGTTCTCTAAATAGATGTGACCAGATCTACCCGGAGTTCATTACCTTTGTAACTTGCTCAGCTATCATAATTTGGGGTCCAGTTCCTGGACCCGTTATGTACCTCTGTAATCTTTTGACTACCACCCACAGGTTGGGTTTAGAATGTATAATAAACATTAAACTAATTAAATAGATCTCAGCCGGGCTGGGAGACAGTAGGACAACGAGGATATCTTCAGACATTACACAACTAACATTATACTGGTTTATTACAGTATATCAATAATTATAACTTGAATAAACTTGAATAAACAGAATTAAAGTCTTAAAAGCTTAAAATGATGTTAGCCTTTCCACTGTTATCACATTTCATGGGTAAACTTATACAATGCTTGTCTAACATATATTTCAAAATTACGATTCATAATTTTAGGGCTTGACTAAACAGTATTGTCTTAAAAACTAAAAAAACCCGTCCGTGTTCCCGAAGTTATTATTACATTCATTTAGAAATGCACCCCTCAAGGGAGGTTCCTTGACGCTGGTGAGGGGATCTTGATCTAGGGAATTGGATCTGTCCTCCAGTTCCCTGAATTGAACCTTCCATTCCGGGTTTAGCGTTCCCCATGATTATAATAAATTTAGAAATGCTAAACCCGTGAAGATGACACAGGTGGGGTGGGTAGCAGTCAAGTTTGATACGAGGAAGGGGAAATTACCTCCATTACTCTGGTTCAAGAGCTCATTACTATATATGATAATTATACTTACGTATACCAGCGCCTAAATAAACTTATTAATCTCCGTCTAAAAGGTAAATATATTACAGCAGCATAATATAACATCCACACGAGGCATCGTGCTATATTCTTTATAATATATTACACCAGGTATGAGGTGCACAGTAACGATATTAAACTAAATAACAGCCAAAAATACCTGCAACACCTGCTTACCTGTACTACTTGACAGACATCAAGTATACGAGTGTTATATATCAACATCCTCCAGCATAACTTTCCTACAGTTGACCAGCCATAGCTGACTAACTTGCCACCTCACCAGCTCACTTATAATTAAACCATCATGCCTAATAATTGTGATTTTGTTATTATTGTGGCTGGCAAGAGTGTGTAATAATGACCAGGATGAGACAGACAACAACCCACCACAAACACTCTTAAACACACACTGCCACTCTACAGGAAATGTGTGTAGTCTGTGTTATCACCATAATATTACAATATACTGCGTGCTAACTATGTTATATATATTCATGCATGGTATATCCTTCGTTGTGATTAATCAGGTATATTTTGATTGCAAATGTAAGTATCTGTACACAGAATCAAGATATTAGATCTGAATCGTACATCAGGCAGGCGTTAGGTCTCAAAGTGTCCCAAATGTCGAACTGCACGAGGTTGGTAATATCTTTTTTTTAACTTCGCAAGTATTCATGACTTAATTAACGTATTTAATGGGAACACGTGTCCTGGCACCTTATCATACTTTATCTCATACTGGTATGCGCACGATCATGCAGTCACACGCATGCGCATGTCACCAGGCTGGCTGGACACTAGCGAAGAGGCGGGGCCAGGAGCTATGACTTGATCCCTGTAACCACATAGGTGAGTACACACACACACACACTCAGAGGAGCTGTGAATCAACCCCTGCAACCACAAACAGGTGAATACACACAGAATGCGCTACAAGAAATGACAAACCAGGATAGGACAAGGTAAGATTTTCCATGAGGCGGGAAATGGGTACACTAGGGCACAGTTGAGAATTAATGACGCAAACTGGTCACTGAATATTCCTTACTGTAGTCTGCAAATGGAATAACCTTAAAAGAAGCATGACTCTATACAGAGCTTTAAGAATAGTTATGATATGGCTCACGCGGCTAAGAGAGTGAACCTCGTCACGGTCAGTTAAGAGACAGGTCTTGCAAATGAAAATTGATCACTTTTTTCACCCACCACCCGTCACCCATCTCCCCTCACCCACCACCCGTCACCCACCTTCCCTCACCCACCTTCCCTCACCCACCTTCCCTCACCCACCACCCGTCACCCACCTTCCCTCACCACCTTCCCTCACCCACTCCCTCACCCACCTTCCCTCACCCATCCACTGTCACCCACCTCCCCTCACCCACCTTCCCTCACCCACCACCCGTCACCCACCTTCCCTCACCCACCTTCCCTCACCCACCTTCCCTCACCCACCTTCCCTCACCCACCACCCGTCACCCACCTCCCTCACCCACCTTCCCTCACCCACCTCCCCTCACCCCACCTTCCCTCACCCACCACACCTGTCACCCACCTCCCCTCACCCACCTTCCCTCACCCACCACCCACACCCCTTCCCTCCCACCCACCTCCCCTCACCCCACCTTCCCCTCCCCACCACCCTCACCCACCTTCCCTCACCCACCACCCACCTTCCCTCACCCACCACCCGTCACCCACCTTCCCTCACCCACCACCCGTCACCCTCCTTCCCTCACCCACCTCCCCTCACCCACCTTCCCTCACCCACCACCCGTCACCCACCTTCCCTCACCCACCAACCTCACACCACCTTCCCTCACCCACCACCCGTCACCGACCTTCCCTCACCCACCACCCGTCACCCACCTTCCCTCACCCACCACCCGTCACCCTCCTTCCCTCACCCACCACCCGTCACCCACCTTCCCTCACCCACCACCCGTCACCCACCTTCCCTCACCCACCACCCGTCACCCACCTTCCCTCACCCACCACCCGTCACCCACCTCCCCTCACCCACCACCCGTCACCCACCTTCCCTCACCCACCTCCCACCTTCACCAACCTTCCCTCACATTTCCGCCATCTTTCAAACATACAAAAATAACATTTTTAAGTCAGTGTTGCCAGGGACGCTCCACTGATAAAACTTTCTCTTCAAACTTGAACTTAAATACCAAAGCGTGAATTTTTCTTACACAATTATATATACACCAAGAGGTATATATATATATATATATATATATATATATATTATACACAGAGGTGTGTATATCTCTCAGCGTATATTAAACTGGTGGTTTTCAGTTGAAATAAGACCTTAACGATAAGCTTTCTTCTGTCTCTGGGCTTTATAGAATTAACGAAGTAGCTCGGTTGGTAGCGCACTCGGCTCACACACTGAGTTCCAGGGGTCGATCCCGGATACGGGTGGAAACATTAAGACGTGTTTCCTTAAGACACCTGCTGTCCATGTTCACCCAGCAGTAAAATAGGTACCTGGGTGTTAGTGAACTGGTGTGGGTCGCATCCTGGGACAAAACTGACCTAATTTGCCCGAAATGCTCAAGATAACAAGGTGCTTCTGTATAGTAGTATGTTATTGATGTCAGCTATGGTCTGTGTACCTTGTTCTTGGTCAGATATTATTATTATTATTATTATTATTATTATTATTATTATTATTATTATTATTATTATTACTTGTTGTTGTTGTTGTCTGGAAAAACTAAATTGTGACTGGTTGATATGGACGGCTGAGTTGTGATTGGTTGGTTTAGAAAGATGACATGGGATTGGTTGGTTTAGAAAGATGACATGGGATTGGTTGGTTTAGAAAGATGACATGGGATTGGTTGGCTTAGAAAGATGACATGGGATTGGTTGGCTTAGAAAGATGACATGGGATTGGTTGAAATAAACATTAGTGGTTTGTCTTAAAAGATGAGTTGTCGTTGGTGTCTCACCCACAGCAAGGTGTGGGCGTGGCCTGTCACCCACACCAAGGTGTGGGCGTGGCCTGTCACCCACACCAAGGTGTGGGCGTGGCCTGTCACCCACACCAAGGTGTGGGCATGATCTGTCACCCACAGCAAGGTGTGGGCGTGGCCTGTCACCCACACCAAGGTGTGGGCGTGGCCTGTCACCCACACCAAGGTGTGGGCGTGGCCTGTCACCCACACCAAGGTGTGGGCATGATCTGTCACCCACAGCAAGGTGTGGGCGTGGCCTGTCACCCACAGCAAGTGTGGGCGTGGTCTGTCACCCACAGCAAGTGTGGGCGTGGTCTGTCACCCACACCAAGTGTGGGCATGGCCTGTCACCCACACCAAGGTGTGGGCGTGGCCTGTCACCCACAGCAAGGTGTTGTCGTGGCCTGTCACCCACAGCAAGTCTGGGCGTGGTCTGTCACCCACACCAAGTGTGGGCATGGCCTGTCACCCACACCAAGGTGTGGGCATGGTCCGTCACCCACACCAAGTGTGGGCATAGCCTGTCACCCACACCAAGTGTGGGCGTGGCCTGTCACCCACACCAAGGTGTGGGCATGGTCTGTCACCCACACCAAGTGTGGGCATGGCCTGTCACCCACACCAAGTGTGGCGTGGCCTGTCACCCACACCAAGTGTGGGCGTGGCCTGTCACCCACACCAAGGTGTGGGCATGGCCTGTCACCCACACCAAGGTGTGGGCATGGCCTGTCACCCACACCAAGGTGTGGGCGTGGCCTGTCACCCACATCAAGTGTGGGCGTGGCCTGTCACCCATAGCAAGGTGTGGGCGTGGCCTGTCACCCACAAGGTTAGGGCGTGGTCTGTCACCCACACCAAGGTGTGGGCGTGGCTTGTCACCCACAAGGTGTGGGCGTGGTCTGTCAACCACAGCAAGGTGTGGGTGTGGCCTGTCAACCACAGCAAGGTGTGGGCGTGGTCTGCCACCCACAAGGTTAGGGCGTGGTCTGTCACCCACACCAAGGTGTGGGCGTGGTCTGTCACCCACAGCAAGTTGTATGCGTGGTCTGTCACCAAAGCAAGGTGTAGGCGTGGCCTGCCACCTACACCAAAATGTAGGCGTGGCCTGCCACTCAAAGCAAGGTGTAGGCGTGGCCTGCCACCTACACCAAAATGTAGGCGTGGCCTGCCACTCAAAGCAAGGTGTAGGCGTGGCCTGCCACCTACACCAAAATGTAGGCGTGGCCTGCCACTCAAAACTAGGGAGGCCAAGCCCATGATGACACTCTTCAGGTCGCTTGTTCTATCTAGGCTGGAATATTGCTGCACACTAACAGCACCTTTCAAGGCAGGTGAAATTGCTGACCTAGAAAATGTACAGAGAACCTTCACTGCGCGCATAACGGAGATAAAACACCTCAATTACTGGGAGCGCTTGAGGTTCCTAAACCTGTATTCCCTGGAACGCAGGCGGGAGAGATACACGATTATATACACCTTGGAAAATCCTAGAGGGACTAGTACCGAACTTGCACACGAAAATCACTCACAACGAAAGCAAAAGACTTGGCAGACGATGCAACATCCCCCCAATGAAAAGCAGGGGTGTCACTAGCACGTTAAGAGACCATACAATAAGTGTCAGGGGCCCGAGACTGTTCAACTGCCTCCCAGCATACATAAGGGGGATTACCAATAGACCTCTGGCAGTCTTCAAGCTGGCACTGGACAAGCACCTGAAGTCGGTGCCTGACCAGCCGGGCTATGACTCGTACGTTGGTTTGCGTGCAGCCAGCAGTAACAGCCTGGTTGATCAGGTTCTGATCCACCAGGAGGCCTGGTCACAGACCGGGCCGCGGGGGCGTTGACCCCCGGAACTCTCTCCAGGTAAACAGCAAGGTGTGGGCGTGACCTGCCACCCACACCAAGGTGTGGGCGTGGCCTGCCACCCACACCAAGGTGTAGGCGTGGCCTGTCACCCATAGCAAGGTGTGGGCGTGATCTGTCCCCCGCAGAAAGGTGGGCGTGGCCTACCACCCACAGCAAGGTGGGGGCGTGGCCTGCCTCCCACACCAAGGTGTCACCACACCCATAGTGTGGGTGGTCACACCACACCCATGGTGTGGGTGGTAGTCACACCACACCCATGGTGTGGGTGGTAGTCACACCACACCCATGGTGTGGGTGGTCACACCACAACCATGGTGTGGGTAGTAGTCACACCACACCCATGGTGTGGTTGGTAGTCACACCACACCCATGGTGTGGGTGGTCACACCACACCCATGGTGTGGGTGTAGTCACACCACACCCATGGTGTGGGTGGTAGTCACACCACACCCATGGTGTGGGTGGTCACACCACACCCATGGTGTGGGTGGTAGTCACACCACACCCATGGTGTGGGTGGTCACACCACACCCATGGTGTGGGTGGTAGTCACACCACACCCA